CGTTGGTAGTACCGTTGATGGTCTGTGGTAGTACCGATCAAAATGTATCAAATAGGTATCACATTTATGTAACTTACAAAAATTACGGTTTTTTAAATAAAAAACGTAAGTTACGTAAATTTCATAAAAGACATAAAGAACATTAAAAAACCGCCCTCTTGTAAGTTACGCGTAATATAACCGTTTTTTATGTAACTTACAAATCGTTATTTTACAATCCACATCACTATAAAGGGCTAAACGACTAAAATTAGTTTCATACCAAAACACTGGGTATACGTATAACCTTGCTCAGTATGTTTACCTTATTTACTTACTGATTGCTACAATGCCCTTTAAGTCAATTTATTCCGCTACTGTTCAATTATGCGCCACTTTAAATCTCTTTCAATTACCAAACAAAAGTTTTCGTATTCAAGTCATTCAAGCCGCTTCAAATTAATGAATTGATAAAGAAAATGCTAAAAATCGAGTTTGTTCATTCGTAACGCGTTTCATGGTCGACGATATGGCGTTTTGATTTGATAAAATAGCGTAATTTAACCCTTCTATCGGAGTCAAGAGTAGAATTTGCAAGAGGGATTACGGAAACTTTAAAAGACGTACAGCCGATATGCAAATAATGGCGCAATTCGTTTTCTTACCCCGATTTTCTTACAAAACGACTTGTCTTTGTTGTGTGCTAAATTCACCTTTTTAATTGCTTACGTATGCTATTTTGAAGTCTTTTAATTAGTGAACATACGTTTTTTAATTACGAGCGTTTGGGAGCATTCCAATATCCAGTATAAAAATTAGAATGGGGTTCGCATGTCTAGACTATATTTACGTTAACCGACCATCGGCAGTTTCGCTTTTCCCTCGGAAGCGGAATAAGTAAATAAATTTTATTTGACACTAAAAGTAAAAATAAATTACCAATTAAAAGTTTTACTAAGCTGCGATATTAGGTATTAAATACGAACATATTATAGGGGGGCTTTGAGACTAAACTTGCCAAATTACCTAAAAGTAATAATGAGTTTCTTGTACAATTGGGAATGCGAACTAACGGCGCAGTAAGGTACCATAATTTTCTCGGGTAAGGTATAAAACCGAGTGGCACATAAAATTCGTTAATATCTGTCAAAACTGCAGTGAAATATGTTATATGGCGGCCTAAAATACAGTGTCTTTAATAAAAAGAAATTTGTATCCCCTCGGCAGCCTTCCTTGCACGTATATGCATAGACTAAAATTGTAATCAGAGTGAAGTTTGCCGAACAGCGGAACCCACTTACGAATTTTCGTATTCCTTCATCTAACTTAAAGAGGCTCTTGTGTACCTGTATCAGCCTGATTAATCCGGCGGCAAAGCGCCGTCTTATAAGATCAAGGGAAACTCGGCAACAGTTTACGCCGGCTTTGATTGAACAGTTAACAAGTTTTGATTGTGTTACAGAGAAAACGACCGCCGTAATAAAGTGATATTAAAAGATATATTTACTAACATTTGATATATATTTCCTTACCTTTTATGGAATATCAAATGAGGATGTATCAATATTCTTTGTATACATTATTAACGGTCCGCCATATAACTGACAGGTATACAAAGGATGATAAACTGTAGACGAAAATATCGTAAAATCTATATTTGCACCGTCAAAAACTTACTCTATATTAATTTAGCAAGAATATTATTTTCAAAGGGTTTTATGTACATTAAACGAAGCACTAATTATTCATTTGGAAGGCCGGTTCATCATTTCGGAGATAAATTAAAGTCCCGATCAATTTTTCCACTGTGTGTTCGGCAAATATAAACTTTACTTTTTTTCATAGCAAATCACCTATCGAGCGCAATAACATATATTTCCGTATTTTACATATTTACATTGCAGTCACTATTAGGAATTTTTAATTACAGTCTAACTTTTTCCTTGGGAAAGGGCCGTGCACAAAGGGACTTCGGCCTTATAATGAACTCCTAAACTCGTTTGAATAATGCATGAAACCGCCTTCTAGCATTTTGAACAAATTTTCATGCGTGGAATAATGTTGTACAAAATATCCGCGCTGCAAAATTTTCAGGTGCGGGGGAAGCAAAATGATGAGAAATTAGCGAGGAAATTAGTATGGATCGAGTAGTACATATAAGTTTATAGAAAACAAATTGAGTAGTCCAGCCAGTAAATGAACATAGGTAGAAATTGTTAATTATTATGTATTGCTTTAATATTACGCATAATTTTCAGTTTGTCTTGTGTTTACCAGAAGGACTGATTGCGCTATGGATGGTTCGTCTTTGATTTAAAGCGAGTTCATGCCATTTTTAGATAAGAATACGAAATTATTATTGCTTTTATTTAAATTGATGATAGTGTACACTGATAAGGTGCAGGTTTTTCTTTATGAATAGAATTTTCATATCTTTAGAAATTATTTGTTAAGTTTTATTTTCGTGTAAAAGGGACATCTGTGTTTAGAGCGAATGGGTTTAGATAAAAGTGAGTTTGTTGTTAAGTAAAGTACGACTAAAATTTGCATCTTTAAAAAGAAGGTGGTTCGCTTGAACGTTTCTTCATAAAAGGAGTGTTTAGAAGATAAGTAGCTTCGGAAGTTTACATCGTCATAATGAATTTGAAAAGTGCTTGTGTTGCACAGGCACGGTTTCGCGTTAGTCAAATTTGTCGCCATTAAAAGGCGTCGTGCATATTTTTTTTCCAAAATTAAGTGCACTGAAGATCATCATCATAACCAGCAATTAAGAAGGTACTGTCTCAATTCAACAAAAAGAAGTCTAACTTTAAAATCATAAAAGTTCGGTTACATTTAATTTAAGTAATACTGGGGAAAGATAGGGTTTAATTTTAGTGTTTGTAATTTCTCTTAAATTTTGTCACGTGTGTTTATGAACACGGTAAATTTAGAGTCGAGTGTGCGATTTAAAGTTTGTTTGTGAAAATAAGTGAAATTACATTTTGTTTTTGTGGCCCTTTGAAGTCATTTTCAGCGACGAATAGTGGAATGACAGCCTCGTTCATTTTTTAAATGTTACCCTTAAGTTCTGCAAGGCAATTCAGTTTTTTTTGTATTTTTGTGTGTTTACCCTGGGCGATCAAGTGGTTGACACAGCGCATGTATTTAAGTAAAGGGGTTTTCAATAGGAACGTTGATTTTGATTTTTACATGAAAAACGTTTTGCACCTTGGCTAATAGCCGAAGCAGAATAAAATACACAAATAAATTCACACAAATAAATTCGCTGGCGCTACCACCCTACATTAAGTTCCCTTCGATGTCGACTCTCTATACAGGGTGTTACATGACCGTATGTAAAAACCAGTATAAATTGTGCACAACACTTGTGCAGATAAAGCGCAGATAAGCAACGGATATATTTCTTGCAGACGTCTCAATCGCCCTTTGTGAGTACTGTCTAACAACAATCCGTTCTTGAGGTATAAGGGAATATACTCGATCACGATAAGAGGTCGAGGAGGAGGGCTATGGTTGGTAGAAATTAATTTTTTTCGTTGAGACCTTTAATTAGAATACAATGATATAAAATTAATTTTTAACCCCCCCCCCCCCCCCTCAGGCCCCGTCGCTCACTGATCTCGAAAAAGAGTCGCACGGGAAAGTTATAGTTTGTACAAACCAATTTATTTCGATGAGACCTTTCATTAGAATACCATGAAGGGTAAAACATGTATTAACCCCCCCTCCCATCTAAAGTTTAACTTAGCACCACTAAATGCATGCGTATGCAAAATCTGAGACCAATTGGTTGTCGTATGATATAAGTTATGCACGTTTCACTTTCAAAAGCAGCATCTCAGGAAATAATCCGGGGGGGAGGGGGGGCTCCCCTTTTAGACAGCGAAATTTGATGGTCGTCTAGTACACCTGCAAGGCATAGGCTACCTACTGCAAAAACTAAAAATATGTCGAAATGGCATAAGTGGGTCCGGACGGGCGGAAGGGCGGACGGACGGACGGACGGACGGACGGACAAAACGCAAACAATAGCCCATTTTTTAATTCTTTAAAAATGAGCTAAAAATACTTAGCTGCTTATACTGTTCTTCGCAGAATCTAAAACACCCCCCAAGATCTCAAGAACGGCGTAACTGCCTCGATCTTTCGTTAATAGCTGTCGGACAGCTCCTTCACAACGGTGGCTACGCAATCAATTATACGGTTTCATCTACGAATGCAGTTACATGCAAATCCAAATCTCCCGGAACGAGAACCGCTACAAATAAAATATCTCAGATATAACATCGAAGTAATCGGACACAAATTACGAATAATGCTTACCTTAAGGAAGAAGCAGATAACTCCAATTAAACTAGCTAAGCACGACTTTGGTGCAATCTCCAAAAGTAACCAAAAAAATTACCGCGTGTTTCACTCAATGATGTAGAATAAGGCCAACTTCCCATCAAACGACATCCAGACAATCCCCAATCCGTTTTCTGCAAACCAACCAAACGGATGTTCCGATTTTTTATCAATTTCCATCAGCACAACTTTCAAAGTACCAGCCAAATTAGAAAAACAGCGTTTTCTTCTACAGGAAGATCTCGAACGTGCAAACTCCGAAAAATCACCAATACGCATTTTTGTAAAAAAATAATAAAAAATAAAACTTTTCGTGCAAAGAATCGAACCCGAGCCGCCCGATTGTAAGCAAACTATCTTTGCCACTATACCATTAAGGCACACATTCAATCGCTATTAAACTGATATTGCATCCCGAAATAGTTGTCGGGAAGGGTCGATTTTCGTATGCCCGTTTGCCGTTTACAAAAATGGGGATCGGGCCTCTATGTTAAAGTTCGCGTTCGCGTGGTTAGCGTTCACGTTTGGTTAGGCGTTCACGTTTAGATTCTCGTTGACGTTTGGGTTTGCGTTCATGTTTGGATTGGCAATCACGTTTGGGTTGGAGTTCAAGTTTGGGTTCGTATTCGTCGTACACATTTGGGTTGGCTATGACGTTTGAGTTGGCGCCCTCATTTGAGTTCAAGTTCATATTTAGGTCCACACGTGTTTGGATTAGCTATCACGTTTGGGTTTGCGTTCACGTTTTGGTCCGATTTCACGTTTGAGTTGGCGTTCATGTTTACGTTTAGGTGCGCGTATATGTTTGGGTTTGAATTCACGTTTTGGTTTGCGCTCACTTTTGAGTTAGCGTCAGCGATCACGTTTGGGTTCGTGTTCACGCTTGGGTTTGCGTTCACGTTCGCATTCGCGTTCACGTTTGGATTCGTGTTCACGTTTGATTTGGCGTTCACGTTTGGATTTGAGTTCACGTTTGGTTTCGCGTTCACGTTTGCGTTTGCGTTGTCCCTATGATTGACGCCCATGTTTGGGTTAGGGTTCACATTTGGATCCGCTTTCACATTTGGGTTGGTGGTTATGTTTAGGGTTGCGTTCATGTTTGGGTTGGCCTTCACGTTTGGGTTGGCGTTTTGGATGCGCAATGACGTTTAGGTTGGCATTCAAGTTTTGGTTCACGTTCAGGTTTTGGCTATCGTCATTCACCTTAGACTTGGCGGTTTACCTGCATCCCATAGTGGGTAATGGCTTTTACTAGTCTAAACGCTAATCCGACGCAAACGGGAACGCGAACTTATGAATCATTATAGCAAACCACTCCTCTCAAAACGTAAGTATTGTTACACAACTAAATTTTCTTTTGGATTGCATCTAACGCACAAGTCATTTCCATCTTTTTGCAAGTTATATTAAGCGGTTCTAAAAATAGCAAATTAGGATGGAGTTTCAAGGTCTCTATTTGGGTTTAGAAGTTAGGGGTTACACAATGCTAAGCAGACAACACAAACCGGCGATATATTATTGGATCTTTATCTCAAATTGGGAGGTGGATAGCGTTACAGTTGTCCCCCTCCTCCCGCCGCTTTTGAATTTGTGCAAATGTTTGGTGGTCGTATGCCAAACTGGGGGTTACTGTAACGGACCCCTGTCCCGCGGTGACCTCGGCCGACGAACATATTTTGAAACAATTTATACGAAAAGCCCTCCCTATAACTTCCTTTCTAGTTGGTACCAGGGTAGTTTTCTGAAAGACATCAGCTGCTGATATTATTCAAAGGAAGCTTAAAAACGACTCAAACGTTAGTGACTTGTTAACAATAGTTCTTCAAACCTGAGAATCATTGTTTCGGTTAGATCGCTTCTTTGACAGTTGCCAAAAAATTGCGTATGGATTATAAATAGTAATAAGAGACATCTATCTTCCGCTTTTGAACTTTTTGCTAACTTTTAGTACGTTTTTACAAGTGAAAGTGCGTGTTTTTTTGCGACTTTGAGAGTTGACATCAAACCTAGGACCTATTATCATGCTAGGAAGAGAAAAGTTTAGCCGACTACTACCAAAACAATTATTAAAGACCCGGTACAAATGGTAGTAAACCATAAAAGAAGCATAAATTCCAATTTATGGTAAATACATCCACATAGATGGCTTCCACAGTAGACAATAAACCTTCTAGAAAGATCTAAAAAAGCATTTCACATACAGAACGCGTCACATTCGCCTTTATCCTTTAATCGACGTGATGGCACCTTCGTATCGTTCTAGAATATTCGCTACAATATGACAATTCCACAGTGTAATACCCAGGATGTTTTAAGTTAATATTATTATCATGATTGTACTGCACCATACCCAGTTGTATAATGTCGGGTTGGACTTGCGGTAAAAAACACAAAAAAAACAGTACTTACCTTTTTAGCTGCAAGGGTAACAATTTATGCGGATGGATTAATTAATTAATATCATCATCGATGACAATGTGAGTTCATAATGCATACACCCCCCTCCCGTTTTCCTCGTCATTTAGTATTTTGTACATAGGTAACGTTTTCACCAGAGAAGTTAATGTAATCTGTAGCATGTCGTCAATAAAGTTCTTTGTGTCACTAACACCTAGGCCATTTTGCACATATTCCAAAATTCATCGGTACATTCCAACGCTCACTATAACTACAATGCATGATTGCAAAGGTCCCAACCTGCAGGTCTAACAAAGTCATCGAGTATAATATGAACAATGTCTATTCGATTAGGAAGCATAATTCTCGCTCAGTTGTAATTAATAAAAAAAAAGGTAACTACAGACCCAGGAAGACCAACTTAAGAAAGTCAATTAAATCGGAAGACCCTTGTGCGAAGTAAACAAATTGAGTAGGTTGTGAATGAAAGCAATTTCCTCCGTAAGCATTCATTTTCCTTTTGTGGTAGGAATTAATTTATAAAACTACCAACTAGTTTTAATCTAAAGATAAATTACATTTCAGAAATTGAAGCTTTCGCTGGTGGCGTTTGTGGCGTACACAATTTTTGAAATGTCTGCATTTGGATTTCTACACACTCGCTTTGTATTTCAAACATTCCGTTACATTTGCATGCTAAAGATTCCGATTGATAACTGTGGAAAATGTGGTGGTCGAATATGCATACGAGTGGGGTCTATTTCTTTAATTACATAGCATTTTAGGGATGGGATGTTTTGAAAATGAAATAAGTAAATAGTTTATTTTCGCGTATCGCGTAGTACTTAACTTAAAAAGATAAGGTCGGACATTATACAAGCTGACACGATAGCATATCGTTTTAGCACTGCACGTATCAGAATACAACTTCCGCAGGGGTTGGTCAGGCGTCACGCGAAGATGTGCATAATAATTACTCTAAACAGAATTCACCCTTTCTCTTTTTCCCTCAGGTGGTCTAATAAACCGACAGTTCGCGTGTTTAGCCTAACATACTCGTTGTTTTAAAAATGAATTGGCAATAATTCTTATGTGCGGCTTTAAAATGATTAATTTGTTTTCAGGTCTGCCGAGGTTTCTACTTTTTATGGTTATATGCATGTGACTAAGAACATTTCTTTTCCCGAGGGTGACTTTGCAAATGGTCTTTTGATGACTGTTCACAATATCGCAGCTCACACGCCCAATATCTGAAATTCGGGTGTAAAGCAACATTTCGCATGTTTAATAGGCTAATGGTCCGTTATAATAAAAAAAAACATTCTGGTGGGTGGAACTTATATCCGAGTAAACAAATAAAGCACTGACATCGCTTGTAATCTACCGTAATTTGATCACCTCGTGAGGTATTACTTTCTTCCCTTTGATTTTTCAACCCGAGCGATTGAAACTTTCAGGAAAAAGTAGCAAGCATTCGCACTTGCTCAATTTGTAACGCGAGCTTGATCTCGTTTGATTTTTTTAGATTGGTAACTATGTCCCATGGGAGTAGACGCATTTTTATGGGCTTTTGGTAGTTGGAACGATTTTTAAGGGTGGTATTTTGGTATTGAAGGGTCCAATTTCGAATTTAGCGATCTATATTTTATGAGTAATTAGCTATCGAATGCGTTGTGATCGGTTCATAAATAGAAAAAACTATCAGCGCCAGTCTGACGGGTGATAACACAATCTTTAATGTCTTTGACGTGACCTTAACTAGCTAAATCAGAATTACTCATAGTAATATTATGGAGTATTGTGAGAAGCACGAACTAAACGATCTGGGAAGTTTGTGCTTGGTCAGTAAATAAACATTAGGTGTGGAACATTTAACGCAGTTTCGTGGGAAGGCAAATTTACTGGAGGTTTCGTAACCCATGCAGAACGGATTATCTTGAAAATGTTGTAGACATTCGTTCGGGGAAACTAGCATGCGATCTATTTTGTGTTTAGAACTATCGAAGGTATATAAAATTACGAGAGGACTTTTCGGCCAGCGCAATTTTAATCAATTTCAAGAACAACATTAGCTCAGTTTCGGTTTGACCTTGGAGTGAGCTATTAATAAATTATATTGCGAAACCAGAAAGTTGGTTAAAGCCTAGGCACACGCTGCAATTCTCAATGAACTGCACAAGAAGAGGTAATCAAAGAAAACTTATGCAGTATTCCTGCCAGAGTCGCTTTATTATGTATTGTTCAGTTTTAAGGCGCCATAGGGAAACCATCAATTCTAATGACAGCTATATTCGGGGTAACGTAATTAATTTGTTTGATTTTTATACAAAATAGTGATCGGATTTCTTTAAGAAATTGCGTAAAATTTTATTGAAACTAATAAGAAAAATACTTAAGCAATTTATCGCTGCTAAACTTTGCTCAAACGAAAGTGATAAATTTTTGATTTTTAGGATCAAAAGAAAGAGCCAATTTTTTGTAACGTATTTGCATTAGAATATATTTCCGAGCTAGCCGTCGCTCAAAATTGGAAAAATTCATCATTGCAGTGGAAAATTAAGTACGATCAAGTGTTTTCAACCCCTATATTATAACAAAAAGTTGCAAATTCTCTTCCTACGGTTAATTACAAAAATCTAATGCTATCAAGTGAAAGAATACAGTCGTACAGAACAGCAGCATCATTTCTAGTTACATCTGAGGTTAAATATCGGCAAGCTTGCTCCAACACATTATTTTCAAATAAGTCAATAATTCGTTTAGAAGCTACGTCTACAAAATGATCAAAATGTGCGTCTTTTTTTCTCAATCAAACCACATTGTCATATATGTTGGACCTTTGTTTTATTTGGAAAAAAATGTTTTCTTTGCCGCCTTTTACCACTCTATTTTTTCACAATGCAAACTGCGAGCACCCGAGCTTAATTTTCGATCCTTGCAAACCAACTTTGTCGTTTACTCGTCTGTGAGATCCACTCGCCGTCTAAAATTGAGTACCTGGAGGCCTTCGAGTGTAGTGCTTGCCACACTACCTTTGTGGAATTCGTTCTAGGTACTGCTAGGGTAAGCTGACGTGATCCGTACAGCACATCACAGAAGCTCCAAAAAGAGGCTTTGTTAATGTGTTAGGATCAGCACCTAAAACACCGGAAAATGTCTCCAAAACGCGTTCTGGTTACCATCATATTGCCAATGATCGAACAATTCTGGATCATTTGCAAAGCCAGAATGTGAACTGGCATTTGACTATTGGAGCCTCTACAGAGATTTTTAAACGCTTTAAAAACACTTTTTAAAATTTTATCGATGAACTCTTGTATTTTGAATTTCATTTTTAAAAAATAAAAGAACCAGTAGGTTGGATGAAATTTTTTTTTTTATTTTTTTTTTTCACTGAATTTCATCCAATCTACTGGTTCTTCTCTTTTGAAAACTTTGGAAAACCCCTGGACGCCCTTAGAAGCTGTTAAAGACCTTTTGATGCACTTAGGGTCCTTTAAAGCTTGTAAAACATCCTAAAGGCTGTTCAAGATTCGTATTTTAAATACGATTAACACTATTGAAAAGGATTTTAATACCCTTAGGGACCCTCAAAAGTTGTTGAACAATCCCTAAACTCTACTAAAATGCTGTGGATACTATTTAAAACTAAAAGAGAGACGACATTTGATGAAGACTAGTGGCATACCTAACGGTGTCT